TAATAATAAAATAAATAATAAAATAATAACAATAATAATTATACAATATCGGAATATTAATCTAATAAAATAATAAAATAATAATAAACTGTTCTATAACAGTATGTATAGTTGAATACTTTTAAAGCAGTAATTGAAAAAATTTTAGAAGGCTTATCAGTTCTAAAAATTAGATATTAAATTTTAGCAAATCTTTAAATCAAATTCTCAAAGATACTATATGGATGTATTAAGAACCTTTATTAACCTTTTTCAATAAATTATAATTAGAATTTTAATTTTTTACTTGTATTCACAGATCGACTATGGGTACTAGGCTAGAATTACTTTGTCTGTGAAAAGAGCATTAGTGAAGTGAACTATAACTGAAATGAACGTGTCATGAAATAAGTGTTGGTAAAATTAGTTTGGTAAACTAAGCTGTTAATAAATTGATCAAAACTGGATAATTCAACCTACCAAAATATGTGTAGTCATGCTTCTGAATATAATCATACAAAATTGTATAATTTAACAAAACACTTCAATTAGATTATAACGAATATACAGCAATTCTAGAAAGAGAATATAATAACTATAGACTTACTAATTTATTATCAAATATATAAAATCACGGTTCAGGAATTCACAGTTGAAAAGAAATGTAGTCAACCATTTTGCTGACAGTCACTTCACCAACAATCTCTAGCCAATATTAACCATAAAGTCTAACCCGAACTAAATTGAGCCAAAATTTGTTAGCGAAGTTGATTTATGTCCTAAAAAATATTAAAATATCTCTATTTACAAGTTAGGCTAATGTACAATAAAGAAAAATATGATATATAATACTTATAATTTAGGCATGAATATTCTTTTGCTATTGATAATATAACTTCGTAATTTTATTTCTAATTATAAAATTGTACATTTTTTTTAATTATAGTTATCAAAGTTTACTCAAAACAAAAACAAATATGAAAACAACAGACTGTTAACTAGAAGAAATTGAGAATAAATATATATATAAAAGCAAATGCAAACTGTGAGTATTGTGTTTTCACTAAGCACTTCAGCCAATTTTTTTGCCTCCTCTAGGCCCAAATTTAGTATTATTATCTGGAGCATAACTAGAAATGACGAAACTCTATAAGTTAATTTACAGAATAAAAGTTCAGAATGGAGGAAAAGGGGAGGAGGAGGGGTGTTCGAAGCCCATGTTAATGCTTTTATATCTAAATATCCACGCTAATGCTTTTATACCCAAGTATCTACACTAATGCTTTTTATATCTAAGTAGTTTCAGTAATACAAGATCAGACTCAAGTTCTACATATACAACATATACGTATATCAATATATAATTTCTTAATATTTTATATAACCACCTTTAGCCTCTATTACGACTGCAATTCTTGCTGGCATCGATTTGTACAAATTTGTAATTACATCGATGCCTATGCCTTTCCATATTTGGACTATTCTGTTCCATAACTTGTCCTTTTCGGTTCTATCTAAATATTCTCCTTTTAATTTCCTTTTTATTTCGCTCCATAAATGTTTAATTGGATTTAAATCAGGAAAGTAGGAGGGCCATTCTAGAACAGTTATATTATTATCCTTAAGCCATGCTTTTGTTGCAATTGACATGTGTATTCTAGCATTATCATGCTGAAAAATCATTTCGTCCTCGTCATATTCACATGATTCCAGTACATCTAATAGACAATCTTCGAGAATATTAATATATCCTGCCAAATTTAAAGTTCTTTCGACTAATTCAATATGACCACCTTCTGAGGTCATACAACTCTATACCATAATACTGCCACCACCAAACTTTTTTGTCAGAATTATATGTTTATCAGCCAATGTATCATCTTTTTTTCGCCAGTAATACTGACATCCTTTAAAAGCACTAAAAGTAAAAACCTGCTTTCAATAGTCCAGTCTTTATATTTTGTTGCAAATTTTAAATATTCTATTTTATATTGATCAGTAAGAGCAGGACATCTTTTTTTAACTCTAGAAACATATCCATTTCTTCGAAAAACATTTCGTATTGTTTTGACTGATATCTTTTTATTTGTTTTGTGACAAAACTTTGCATACACATCAACTGCTGTTTCACATTGCCCAGGGATAATTATTTCATATATTAATTTTTCTTCATCAGAAAAAAAAATTTTAGAATGATCCAACCTTGGCAAATCATCAATTTTGCCTGTTTTTTTGAACTTTTTTACGATTTTAGATACTGTTGAGGGAGAAATTCCTATTGTTCATACAACTTGACGTTGAGAACATTCATTTTCAACAAGAGTAAGAATTATTGCTCTTTGAAATAGTGTTAATTCCTAATTTTTATTATTTCGGTATAATTGAAATCTTATTATACTTTTATTCTTAGGTGCTTTTGGCATTTTTTTTTTAAGACAATGAAAAAAAAAATAGGAATTTTAAGCAAAACGATTTAACAATAGCAGCAAAAAAAAAATAAAATGTACGATTGTTTTTAAAATTCTCGCTATAATAAATACATTAGATTTCTTATTATTAAATTTATAAGATTAAAAATTGTATGTATATGCTTCTGCATTTATTGATATAAAACCATATTAGATTTAAAAGGCCTTAAATTTCGTTATATATACATATACATATACTTAACAATGCAACAAAGTTGAAATAACCTATGTATGTATAAATAAAATAATAGCACTGTTATCTATCGCTATAGTTTTTTTTTATTATTAATTAATAGTAATCACTACTTTTAAGGGGTTGTAAATTTACAATAATAAATTTTAATGTATCATAAAAGTGCATATACATGACCTGGGTTTGGTACCGTAAAATGCTGTATAAGATACTCTATGATTTGTGGCAGATTTAATAATAATACATATAGGCCAATTGGTATATATTAGGCCTTGAATAGTCACTTTTAATTTTTTTTGATTGGTCTGACAAATGATTAAAGTGATTGTTGTGATTTATTTAAGGTTTATTCTATATTATTATGTACGAAGAATTTAATGAATATGTATCAAATCTATTAGATTATCTCAAAACCTGTTAGATTCTTGTCTACTTATTAGCCTGAACCTACTAAAACATACCATTTGTCATTGTTGTGTAGTATTAAAAATAAACCTTCTGTCTTAAACATGATATAGTTAATTGTCTAATGAGCTGTCTGTTAGATAATTGCATTGTCAAATAATCTATTATTAAAAAGTTCTTATATAGAGGTACATATTGGTCTATATGATTTGTTTTTTTCTAAATCCTCATAACAAGATATCACCTACGTACATAATATACCCGGGGGTACAAATCAAATTTTTATTACATGGAATTTAAAGTGTTTGGCACATTCCTGTTGTATAGACATTGGTTTGATAATTAGAAGGTTTTTATGATATATATTATGTTCTAATATAATAAATTATCTAAGTCTTTTAATCATTGTTTTTTATACTATATCCGGGTCAGTTTCATTTTACCAAAATTTTTATTTATACTTTAGTACCAACCTGATTTATGGTGAGTCTACTATTTTGGTAGGTATTGTGCATTTTTACAATAATTTACAATGTAACAAATATACATATATACTAAGAGAAGTGTCATTTATTACCTGATTTTTTGTAAATAGTAAATATTTCCTCTCCTTTACATGATAAAATTTATAAGTCCCAATCATTTTTGCTACATTCATTTTCAACAATAATAAAACTGATTAATTGTATACCAATGTATATGATACTTTGTTAGGGAACCTCATTCTAAAATAATCAGGTGATAAATGACACTTTCCTAATCTGAATATATTTTAATAGCACCACATAAAATTCTAACTTATACCCAGTTATAAATTAAACTTGCAAAACTACTAATATCTAATAAAATTGAACCTCCACCTAAAGATCAGTTTAAAATTCCCACCTTTTTACACAGTATCTTCTAGTTGAGATTTTTTTTTTTTTTTTTTTTAAATGTTAAAGTGACCACTTTGGGGTCTGGCACATTTTATTAAACTTTGGATCAAATGCCAGGGCAGCCACAGGGATACCCCTGACTTTGTTACATTAACGAGGATACATACTAGCTATATGTACAACTTTTGGTTGTCTATTTAAGCAGTCTTGCATATGTAGCCCATATGAACTACACTAGATATCATACCTGTAGCCCACTATTACTTGAGCTACCCAATTAAACCTTCTAATCAACTTAGTGCCATCGGGATATTCTCCCCAAAGAGGAACTGCCGCTAAGGCCCCTTAGGACTTTAAAGCAGACATACACTCCTATATAGGGGGTCCTTTATTTTGTGGTAAACCTACCAGAGCGGTCTATATTCCACACATTATCACCTAGATTTTCGGTAACTTACACCTAGGCCGCGGCCAAGTACTTGTGGCTTTTTTACCTCCGCTATTATTATTTACTTTATGCCCTTGCAAAATTCACCCAAACCCCAGCACCTACTTTACGGACTATCAACAGTACTTCGATGCCAACCGTTGGTGCTCCAAACTTCCAATCCAGATGGCCTGGGAGGGATCAGTGGGCATCCTCTGGTATTTCGAATGAATCCTTTTTCTTTCAGCTGATTTAGCAGCCTGGTTGGTGTAGTGCTTGCCAAACACTTGGTCCTTGTTCAGTTTGCCTACAGTGTCCAGTTCTCCAGATAATAATCCTTTATGTAGCCTCGTCAAAGATCTGTGCTACCTCACTACTTGGGACTTTTCAAGCAGGCTTCCGTATCTCCGATCCCTTGGATTTATTTAGCTGCTTCACTCGGGTTTCATGTAACTCATACGTCACACTACGTTCTACAACCTCCCAATACAAGTTGGTGAGACCAAAGTCACAGGTGCTTACACAATCAATATGTCATACAGTTTTATCGTAATACATTTCCGCAAATTCGAATTTCGTTGCCAGTGGGATTCGAACTCTTGTTTTGCCGCTTGGGGGTGTGACAACTTACCAACTACACTAAGTCGCCACACCCTTTAGTTGAAGTATTTTTGATTTATATATTGAGTAATAAAATGCAGAGTTTTATAGTAATAAGAATTTCAGATAACGATAATGTGAATCAAGAACAATACTGTGTGAATGATCATTTCAATATGTCGTTTCATCTAGCAACATTTATGTATATAATAATACAATAAAGATTAATGAATATAGCAATTAGACCATATGTGGTTTACACCTTAAAA